ACAGCAGGGAAGATGCTATGCGTGTTTTAGGCCAATCGTGGCTCCGGCTAGGATCATGTGCCTTCAGTCTAGGAGCTGGTGATTAGGCAGAACACGGCACCTGCCTCAGGCCCAAGGCCACATAGCATTCACTGCACTATCAACCCTGGGTACAAGTGACAAATCCTCTTGTTGTGGTCATTGTTGGGATCAGGACCAGGTCCTGGTTGGGATTTGTGTGTGCACTCCCTTTTGCGTGTGCACTCCCGTTTTGGCCTTTCCTTCTCTCCTTTTTCTCTCTCTCCCTAAGCTGAAAGCGTGGTAGAACGTGCGCCCTTGCCAAACCAATCAGTCACAGACTTTTTACCGCTTGACTCCGCTCTGTGCACGGAAAATGGCAGAAGCGTGGTCGCGTGGTGCGACGGATGACGCATTAGCCGTTGACAATCTCGGGATTCCTGCTGCAGCCTAGTTTGGCGTGTGTTGCGCCTTGCGTGGCTGCTGCGGATTCTGCTTCTGCAGTAAATTCGAAAAGTCCTACCCGTATATCGGCAACAAGCGATTTCTTCAAAGCCCAAAAATTTTTTGTGATGCGTTTAGTGTTCGGTTCTACAAAGGACAGCTCGTGCTACATCGTGTTGAATCTTCACGGACACCTTCCTTCTCGTTTGTGTTTGAGTGGTTGTCATGCCCCTGGGACGTCGCCAGATGGCAGCTGATCGGCAGCCAGTTGGTTATCCAGCTGCACAGAAACTGCTACTAAAGATGCAACTTCTAACACCCCTTTGACAGTGTGCCGGTACCAGTACCGGTGCCATTCCCTGTGGGAGTGCCGTCAGCATCATTCAGAAAATCTACAACCAGACCGGAGCCTCCAGAGACCCAGGGCCAGGGTCCAGACACGTCTACTCCCCGGCAAGAGAGTCGCCCACATCAAGCTCAGCGGCTGCCAGAACGCCCTAAAGGCTATTTGCGAATCTACATGACAGCAGCTCAAGTTTCGGGGATATACAGGACATATAACTTTAATGCATACATGAACTACTGGACACTACTCGTAGCTAACCCCAGTGAATTTTGTTTTGTGGTGCAAACAATGACATTTGAGGAGACTACAATTTTCAGTGTTTCTACATGTCAACAAACATTTTTTTATGTGAAGTGCTCGGTTTTCTTTCTCGCAATAGGCAGTAAGAAGTGTGTTACTGGCTACTTGCCCAATGCTTTGCCCAATTTGTTGTTTCAATCTGCCCAATTTCTCTTGTCCAATTTTCGTTTTATTTTGCCCTTAAGGTTTTGGCCTTATGAGATGTCATGCGTGTTAAACTGGATTTCTTGTCGCTTAGGCGATATTTTCACAAGTGTTTTAGCTCATCTCTTCTTTGCATTTTCTAATTTTACTTTCATTTAATACTTTTAACCGATACTGTTCAGTTAGTCCAGTCTTTCCCTTTCTCAGCATAATGTTTTCTTTTGTCTTTAAAGAGAACAGAGCTTCTTGCTTTTGTATAAGGTAAGGTTTGCAAGCGGGTGGGCGTGGCCCTCTTTAAACTGTGCTCCACGGCCGAGGACAGGCCAGTGGCCACCCTGTTTGGTATCGGCCAATTGACCGTCAACGAACTGTACCGAGAGTTCTGCAAGATGAATGTGGCTGTCCTCGAGCCCGGATGGGTCAAACTGATGACCCCAAAGGAGCTGCCAGAACATATCCAAGAGTCTTGAGCTGCGCTGGAGTTTCCCCAAGAAGTTGGGGCGCTGGGTGGCTGCCACTTCCCGGTGTCGCGACCACAAGAGAATGCAGGCAACTACCATAACTACAAGGGGTGGTATATGTAGGGGTGGTGGTAGCCTGTTTGTGTTGACGTTCCCTAGGTTAACCCAGCATCTAGCACTAATGCTGACATTGGCTAGTTAAAGGGCCCATGAAATGATTTCCGGTAAAATGATGGTCAGAAAAAATTACTGTTCAGGTGAGCTCATTCCTTTTTTAAAATAATTAGAATAAATTGCGGTTTGTGAAACCCCACAACTTGTACAGCACTTTCCAAGTCACGTGCGTCGTGACGACAGTTTGGAGTCGCAGAACTTCCGGTTTTGTTCTATATTTAGCACCTCCAGCGAGCAGCATTGTGCTGCAGCGAGAGGCTCTCTCCCGTTCAACATGGTAACGTGAAGGGACAGTTTGAATGACCCAGAGCGCGAGATGCTCGTGTACGGCGAGTCCCTAGGACTATCCCCTTACACTCGCACACCTGAAAAACATACAAAACGGTCCCTCGACAAAGAGGACGTGCCAGCTCTGCCCGATCCGTGCCCAAACCCAGATGCACGGCGTCTCATCAACACGGCATGGTAAGTGCTGCGCGTGGCGTCTCCTTTATTCTAATAACAGGCGCTCTCCTAAAAGATGAGAGTTCATGCCCAGCCGGAGGGCTGCATTATGGAGCACGCGGACTTCGCACTGATCTGTTTCCAGCCCGCCGTGCTCCGAATTACCTTCCTTGGAGAAATAGGGCAAGCATACATTATCTAGTCACACATCTGGGAGTTCCATCTATTGAAAAACTACCCATCCCTTCTAAATATTAAAAAAAACAAGGTAAGCAGTCAAACTGCGCCTAACGTTTTCCTTGCTAATAACACTTTTGTTTCACCATTCGAGGGGTCGACACCGCAATCAGGACTACCTAAAGGACCAGACCATAAAGACCACCACCTAAAGAACGAAGATTGTCTAGTCCCCGCAGCCTCCCTTCATCACCTGACCGACGTCGTCGTTGTCTCTCTTCAGAACAAGTCCATCGTGGCGAGTAGTCATCATATAATGTCCGATTGAAGTAAGAAACTTGAAGTGCTTTCAAAATGTCAATCAAGTTTTATCAAAATGCAAAAAGTTCCTTCGCACGTCAAACTTCATGTTGTAAACACTGCACGAATGAAACGAAGTATGGAGAGGCGACATATGTAACATTAATTATATAAAATGAAGAAAAAAAAGATTTTCTTCCAAAAAGATTTCGAAAGTTGAGTGAGGAAGACATCGACCAGCTCTCGAAGAACGCTAATCTGTTTCTCGAAAAAATGAAGAAGACAGGGATTTCACCAGAAATAATATTCTGTTGCAAGGTTAGGAAATGAACTCTTCATCATCATGGTTACTTGTCGCCTTTGCTATCCCAAGGAACGACAACATTATTCCAGTGTAGATGCGTTGAGAGTCTACTTGGCATTGGTTAACCGACACGACAGACTGCTTAACCGACACGACAGCTCCAAAAAGCGCCCAACCGTAGAGACCTAAGCACATTCAACTTTCAAAAAGGTTAAAAAACGAAAAGTAAAAAGAAACTTAAACAAAACTGACAAAAGCAAAAACAAACAAAACAAAAATCAACGTCACTTTCGGTCTGTGTTGTTTTGCTTGTTTTTACTTTTTCTTTTTTTCTCGGCCAATAGGCGTTGCAACCTTATTGCGGCGAAACGCCCGCTCCATAACCCTGCATCACACAATGTACCTCCCCACACCCACACCACGAAAGAGTGTGTTCTTCGTAATTATGTGGCTCAATACGAGTTGCACTTACACGAAAAAGACGAAGAGTCGTATGATGTGCACACCTTTTACAGCCAGCATGCACAATCAATGTCAAATGTGCTAAGACAATTTGAAGTAGCGCTGCGTATTTTTGTGACACTCCCTGTAAAACTCGGACGTCTCATTCCTGACGACACTGAAATGACTGTGCACTTTTTTCAGTCAGGTGCATACAGTGTTTGTGGAAGGAAACATACTGAGGGACATGCAACAAGTCTGCACTGAAATAGCTGCACGGTTAGAGCATTATCAGGAACGAGGCTTGGTGTTCTTTCTGGTCGACATCGGAGTTCGAATTATCAGTTTGGGACGACTTCTTCCTCAAATTGTTGGTTGCAGTCCTTTTTCGCTACCAAAAGAGCTTACCTCAAAGCAGTGCCTCATTAATGTCAGTTGGGGTCTTCACGAATGTGAACGTGACATGTGCTTTGTGTTTGCGGTGCTTGCCGTTTTACATCCTGCGAAAGGAGCTTATAGAGAAAGAGCATGCTCGTACCACGAACTTAAGTGCAAGTATGTGTTCCCAGAAACGTCCCTTGTAACCTTCCCTCAAGATTTAGATACATTTGAACGAAAAAATGGAGCCTCAGTTAACGTTTTGGTTATAACAGTGAAATCAAATTTATCTTCTCATTGAAAAACACTTCATTGGCGTAACAATCTTTGCGAGACTTTTTTCAAACTCCAATAGCTTACGCATTTGCTGCAAGAAGTGTCTGACTGGGTTTAGAAAACAAGAATTTCTGTAGGTCCACATCTCTCGATGTGTGTGAACGAGAGGCCGGGCCTTCCCCGCTGAAGGGTGAGGAATTAAACTTCAGGAGCACGCATGTTATGGAAGAGTTTCCATTTTATTGCGCTTACGACTTTGAAGCGATTCTGGAACCGACTCGGTCGACGGGAACTGTGTGCGAGAATCATGTCCCAAGCTCGTTCTGTCTTCTCATCATCCAGTCAAAAGACTCCTCCGTTGCTGAGGAGTACCTCTATCGCGAACCTGACTGTGTCGAAAGATTCGTTTCAATTCTTAACTTTCTAGCGAAGAAATTCCCCGCTTGATTAGGTCGAGTGAAGTGCCTCTTCAAATGAGTCCAGATAATGAGGCTATCCATGCAGAGTCTTCCCACTGCAGCATTTACTTGCAGACGTGCACTTTGTTCAAAGTGCAACCTAAACCCCCAGATCGACAAAGGTACCGTCCCACTCATCGCACATAACCATTCCTACGACCTCAGTTTCATTCTAAAAAAGCTTCACTTGTGGGACTCGGATGACATTAACATCCTTAACCCCTTGCCTACTCATTTTTTTTCTTTAAAGATCGTACAGAAAGCTTTATTTAAATCAAGCAATTTGCGTCAAAATAAACAAAAATATTTCCTTGGCTTTCAGGCGTAGTCTCGTGCTCTATACCAGGACTTCTGGTCGTGTCCTCTTCTTCAGTAGTTCTTCAAAGTATGATAGCGCTGAAAACATTCAGGAACATGAAGAGCCACCTTGCATTGTCCACATTCCCATGTTGTTTCACTCCGTTTCTTGTTGGCTGTGCACACTTTGCACGCCCGCGTCGGGTTCTTCTTCTTCTCAGTGGGTGCGATGTGTTGCACAAAGTGACCCCAACACTTTGCTTGTAAGCGAAGCGGAGTGTCGCCGTTGGATGGCCTTCCGCGAGTTTTATAGTCCGGAAGTTTCACACTCTCCAGAATTTCTTCAGCAAGATCCAGGCGGAAGTCAACAAAGTTCTTTGTTCTGCAGTCTCCACTCAACTTCTTGTAGATTACATACGAGTTGAACACAGCAATATCCATCACATAAAAAAAGATTTTCTGGTAGCCTTTGACCAATTTGCGCATCAGCGGAAAGCAAGCCACCATTTGATCTTGCTTGTCGACGCCGCCCATTCCTATGTTGTAGTCGAGAACACAGCTTGGCTTGATGACGTCTTCGGCATCGCTTTGTCCCTTCCTCTTGATCCATCTTTTCTTCCCTGTTGCGGTCATGTCGGAGTTAGAATGCATTGTAGACAAGATGTAGACATCCTTTCTGTCGTGCCATTTTACTGCAAGTATGCCGTGACTAGACCTGGACTCGACTTCTCCTTTTTTGAGTTTCTTTGCCACCAGGTCCTTTGGCATGTTTGCCCTGTTTGGTCTAACAGTTCCTACAGCATGAGTTTTGCCTTCCTTGAGCTTGAGGAACAAATTTGGAGATGTGTACCAATTGTCAAGGTATAATATGTAGCCCTTCTCCAGCAGCGGCTTTCCAAGTTCAAGGACCACGCTTTCACTTGCGCAGGTAGTTTTGTCTCTTCCTTCATCTTTCCCAGTGTAGATCTTGAATGCAGAACAATATCCCGAGGACGACTCACACAGCTTGTAGAATTTTATTCCAAATCGAGCTCGCTTGCTGGGATTGAACTGCACGAAGCACAGGCGCCCTCGAAACTTCATCAAACTTTCGTCGATGGAAACCTTTTGGTCGAGTGTGTACACAGATGCAAACTTCTCGTTCATGTGCTCAAGCACGGGCTTCACCTTCCTAAGACGGTCACTCTTGTCGGCCGTTTCATTATCAACGAAGTGAAGAAATCGAGAGATTAGCAGAAACCTCACATAGGACATCGTTTTGCCGAAAATTGGGGTCTCCACTATGGACCTCTTGGACCAGTTCATTTTGACTGTGTGTTTTTTCACTTGCGTCATAATGATGCACAAGGCAAAGTATGCTTTTATCTCATCCGGAGTGGTGTCAAACCATTGCTCCTCATAGCATTTCTTGGGACGATCCTCGTCGCCCATCTCTTGTTCGGCGTAGCGATTTGTCTCAGCAGAGACAGACGCCCAAAAATCATGACTTGCAAACACGGAAAAGGTCGACAAGGCGCTTGTCTTCTCACCAAGACTGCGTTGAACCCTTGCTGACACACCTGGGGTTTCTCCAAAGGTGAACTGAGCAGGCTGGTTGTCCCTCTTCTCCCACTTCCACTGACGTGCAGACGCCGAAGTCGATGAAATGCTTCCAGGATTCGCATCGTTTTCAACACTTTTCTCACTGTCCGTTGAACTCTCATCGGATTCCGAGTAATCGGAAAGGCAGCAGGATTCGTCGTCAGAAATACTGGCGCATTCATCACTTTCAAAAAGAAGTCTTTGTATATCTTCGTCCGCCAAAGCAGACCTCCGCGCCGAAGACATGTTTTTGGCGCGCTTGCTTACAATAGCGCGCTTATTTTTTGTCAATGGAGCGCCCTCTCTCTGTCAAAAGGCAAAGCAAACAAGAAAAGAACCCAAGGTAAACAGGAGCAACAGGGGTAGTGCTGCCATCTGCCGCAGAGCTCACAAAACAAGCTCTGAAACCGAAACACGAGTCACACTCGTTGTCGGGTTTTATGGTCCGTAAATGGCGGCACGAGTGACACTCGTTATTAGTAGGCAAGGGGTTAAAACTTCCCAGAGTTTTGAGCTGCTAGAAATAGGCAACCTCCGCTTTATCGACAGTCTTGCGTTTCTTCATGCAAGCCTGGAGACGCTCGTTCAAGATCTCCATTCCAAAGGGCTAGAGCATTTTCGTTGCCTTCGACAATCCTTTGCCAAACGCATCTACCTCCTTGCCCGCAAAGGTGCGTTTTGTTATAATTTCATTGGAAGCTTTAAGAGTTACGGGGAGCAGTCTTCCCCCGCAAGAGGCCTTTTTTTTTAACAAGTTGAGTGTAAGTGAGGTCAGTGAAGAGGACTAAAACTGCAGCTAATTGACGATCCCGGCACCTATCTTATGGCTGAACAGGGTATTTGTGGGTACTGCGACCCAGGCTGCCCCGGGCCAAGACAGAGCGCGCGCTCCACGGGCTGGCCACCTTCTTGAGTGACACCAGCATTAGGGACGTGATATGAATGCCCAGGGCTGCCCACGAACTAGCCCTAGTGCCCTAGTGTGTGCCTCAAAGTGACATAGTGTGCTGGCGGTGCTTGCAGTGCAGTGCTGATACATTGACATAGAGTGCTGGTGGCGCTTGTAGTGCAGTGCTGATACATTGGCTGGCATGCCTTGCCCAAACTGAACTGAAAATGCCAGCGCCACTCGCCGCGCCATGGAGTGGTGACGAAGAGCGACTGTTCTCTCTCTCACACACCTATCCTCCCAATCCCCTCTCCCCTAATCGCCCAATTGGACGGTTGGAGGGACAAAGCTAGGAAGGCCTTAAAAGGGGAAGCGGGACAAAGAAAGGCTCTCTCTTGCTGCTGACTTTGGGGCGGCAACAAGTCACGGAGCAAGCGGGACGACAACGACCACATAGCGATAACGAGCAATGCGGGTCACAGTAAACTGTTTTGATCACGCATAGTGTTGGTAAAAAAAAATGAAAAGAAAGTGGTACGACGTCATGAAAGAAGAGCTCAGTGCTTTCTTGGGGTGCTCGTCTTGATGAGAGCCAATCCAGCTCATCACGTCTACATCTACCAGAGTAGCGACCCCTTTTTCAATGTCACCGAGATATCTCATGTAGTGATGTTTAATCAGTTCCAGGCCATTCTAAGCTCTCTGCACATCAATGACCGAGACGAAAAAAAAAAAGAAGAGAGAGGAGGGCCACGACAAGGTGGCCAAGGTTCGCCCTCTGATTTCAGCTCTAAACAAGCAATTCGCTGAGCACTACAGGCCCTCAACACACCAGTCGGTGGATGAGAGTATGATTGCATTCAAGGGAAGATCTGCTCTCAAACAGTACACAACCATCAAGCACCTTCAAGAGAGGGTACATAGTGTGGTCCCGTGTAGACTGAAACTGGATATCTTGTTCAATTTTAAATCTATGAAGGAAAAGAATCAAGACGACCTCCCGATCTAGGACTTGGCAGACATGTGGTGCTAGTACTGTCCGAGGGCGTTGAAGAGGGTATGCAGTTGTACTTTGATAACTTCTTCACTACAACAGCGCTCACAAAGAAGCTCTCTGAGCAAGTCATGCTCCGAGCTGGGACACTTCGCACCAACCGCAAAATCATCCGAGTGAGGTGAAGACGGAAAACAAGCTACAAAAGGGCATACACTCGGAGGTGCACGACAGTGCACTTCCAAGTTTCGAGGAGTTGACGATATTGACACCTGAAGAAGTGGAAGAGGCTTTGCGGGGAATGCCCGCAAAGCCTCTTGCGGGGAAAGCCGCAAAGCCGCAAAACGACACGCCGCCGAAGTCAGCCGCGATTCGAACGTCCGATTCTGGATTGCGCAATATTGTTTTGCTCGTATTTCTTAATTTCTCGACTATTTCTTGCTGTAATTGGGTTGGTAGGGTCCAAATACGGTTTCCCCGAAACTCTGTGGCTGTCGTCTGCTACAGCTCCTTTGTCTCTTGGGCGACCGTTGCAGCCGATTTGTTGCACGAATATTTTTTTGTTATTATTTTCACGCGAAACACCGAATCGCGGCGCGGAGCGCGAAGCCGGCCTCTGCGAACTCAAACGTTTCACTCTCTGACGCACGGAAGAAAAGAAAAATATATATATATATATATGTATGGCGTAAGAACGTTCGGTGCATCTTTAATGTAGGGCGCTAAAGATTGTCTTTTGTGCAGCACGAGCGTGTTGCACGGCTGGCCCTCCGTTTCAAGAAACCAGTGACCTCCTGACCCGAGTCTTCTTCAGCTGCGGATGATTTGTGCTTAATCAAGACCGTTTGAATGGCAACTGAGAACTTGCTCCAAGCAAAAAGTGTGTGTGTGTGAAATCGTGTTAGCTCGTGCGATTTAACTGAATAGGAACAAGTGTGTTTTCATCGAGACAGCTCGTCTGCAAACTTGCATTGTCGGCCTAATAAAATCTGACGTCAAGCCTAATAAAATCTGAGGTTAATAAAATCTGAGGTGAAACGGAGAAATCTGTTGTTTTGTGTTTTGCTGGTGAAGACATTGACAAACTTGTTGGTGCGAGGAGAAAAGTTGGCGCAGTGGATAAAATCGTAGCACTTGTTGTGGCGTGGAACGCCTATGTACGTAGGTATCTTGCCTGACTTGGTCATATTCAAATGGTCGTCCATAGTCATGCCTTACTACTTTCAATGAGGTTTCTGTGATCAGAGTCCTTAAATTTTGTGGGGTTGGATGCATACATGGCATTGTCTGCGGTGCCAGGACCGGGAACGCACATGCCAGTGTCCAGAGATAGATTAAGGCCCACTGCACTCACGCCATATACCATCATGTCCGAATTGACGGGTTGTACCACGCTGCTCCCAGTCTTCCACGGAGTGTGAATGCCGTGCGGTGTAATTTTGGCACTGCACTTGATGGCCTTCGTATTGTCAGATAGCATGTTAAAGTGCGCCGGAGTCATGTAGAGGTATATGTATTCGACGGGTAGTCTGCTTATGGAAGTCTGATAGCCCTTGTACCTGTAGTTGTGGGCATAGCTAATCTCGGTTAGCACTGTGACGTAGCCCCAGGTGGTAAGAAGTTTACTGTCACGATGCACCCGAACAACCATTCCTTGGTCTCGGGGGATGCGCAAAATCTGCTGTACAATGACTCCGTTTTGAAGGCTTTGCTGAAGGATCTCTCTGTCCTCATTTGTAAATCATGCAGTAAGGTATGCCCGCGGGTCTGCAGCAAGGCTTATACACTTTGCAAGTGAGAACTCAATGGCGTACCTGTGAGAATGTCAAAATAATATCTCAAAATAGAGTACAGATGAAAGAAGGCCTTGTTAATAAATGGGATAAATGAGGAATGTGCTGACAAGTCAACCGAGCACATGCTTTTTTTCTCTTCTTTTTTTTCGACTGAGGGGAAATAAATGAGTATTTGATAGGTAGTTAAATGTATGAGGCGCATATATAGTAGACATCGCATATTCTCCCGTGCGAATGTCTGCAGTTGCACGTAGCATTCAGTTTACTAAATATGTATGAAGTAAATCAAGCTGCTGGTCTGGCGATAAGATAGGTAATGCCAAAAATCAGCAAAACATCCTAGTTTTGCACGCGTTGTGGTGTCTTTTATTTGCCTAACTCAAGTGATGCCAAGCCGGCCAATTCACTGCATTCAGAATACTTGTGGAAATGCGGTCTTTTCCTTTCCTCAAGAGGCCCTAAAGTGGCTGCGGAGTGAGCCGCTGGATTCATTTGTTCAGCCGCACGCATCCGTCAGTGGCGAGGGGGACAGCGCCATCTTAGAGGCTGTACCCTCATCACCCCCTCCGTCACCATGAGCCCTCAGCGGAATCATCGCCAGCGCCGATCCGGCCGTCGTCCTGCCCCGGCTCCTCACGGACCTGAGGCGCCCTCCCGGAAACCAGCCGCCGGCACGGGAGCGAGGAACCGTCAACCTGGTCCTACCGGCGGCCAAGGGTCTCCGCAGAGTCAAGGGCCCGGGCTGCGTCGTCCAGAACGGTCCCCACGTGGACGTCGCAGGTGGGCTCGGAGGCACCGCGGGTTTTCGTCGGCTGGGCCCGATGGAAGCTGCAGCGGAGACCCGAGCGGGGCCAGTCATCGGAGCATATTCCATCTGTGTTCCACGGCCAGACCACCGAGGACGCGGACAGAATGGCCGCCGAGGCATGCCTGACCCCAGCGGACGGGGCAACCTACTGCTCCGACTGCAGCGGCCTCGTGCTCACCTCTACGACAGAGGCCCAGCACCGAGCTTCCCTCCTCCACCGAAGCCGAGTCGACGAAGACGGCGGCGGCGGCCACGTTGGAGACGTCACCTTTCTCGAGCGACCTGAAGCCGTGGCCTGGGTGCTGGAGAGCTTCCAGCGCGATCCAGCATTCCAGGACACGGTGCTGGCCGGTGTTCTGGCCGACCCTGACCATCCAGACGGAGGGGCGGCGATTCCGGCGTCATGTCCAGGGGCTCCAGCGGACCTCCCAAGGGCGGCGGCAGCAGCGGCAGCAGCGGCAGCGCCACCGGCAGCGCTGTCGCCTGCGCCGGCAGACGAGCCCGGGCCAGTGGTG